GTACAAAGAGACCTCCTTTGAGTCAAGGTCATTCTAACCTGGGCTTTATGAGAAAACGAGCTTTAAGAAAAAGTCTCTTTGGGGCACCTGGGTGGCTTAGTCGGTTAAGCGTCCGACTTTCGCTTAGGTCATGATCTCGCGGTTCGTGGGTTCGAGCCCCGCGTCGGGCTCTGTGCTGACTGCCGGCTCAGAGCCTGGAGCCTGTTTCAGTCTGTGACTCCCTCTCTCTCTCTGACCCTCCCCTGCTCACGCTGTCTCTCTCTCTTTCTCTCTCCTAGAAATAAATAAAACATTAAAAAAATTTTAAAAAAAAGAAAACGTCTCTTTTTGTTCGACAGAGGAGTCTTCTCCAGGATATCCAGGACCATATTTTCTTCCCCTGGAATACTTCGTACAGGATCCAGAGGCAGAGCAGCTTCGAGAACGTTTTTCTGCGCGCTGCCCAGTACTCGGTTCTAGCAAACGGTAATTCTGACACCAAATGTCGTTCAACTCCCATGGCTGCTGCCCTCTCCACGTACAGAGGCTCCTTACTAAACAATAGGGCCATGAAGGCAACCTGCTGCCAATGCCTTTCGGGGCGTCTTTGACCTTGTGTGTCCCTCTGACCAGGGCTCAGTTGTCCCAGGAGCTGGCGTGCATTGCTGAGCCTGCAGACACCGTGCAGCGGACAGGTGGGCAGAGCACTGCAGGCCACGGTCCGCGGCGGCCCTGAGCTCGCCCTCCCCGGCCCGCTCTGTGTGCCATCCGGCCCCATGCGACAGGGCCCCAGGTACCCTAATGTGGCCTGTTCCACCTGGCTGCACACCCCGGGCTTCCAGGGCGCCCCAGCCAATCGCTCTGTGAGACCTGGTCTCCTTGTAATTTCCAATTTGTGACAAATGTAAAAATAGAAGGCCATTCGACGCAGGCAGCTCGCATCAAATTGGACGCGGCTCTTGTGTCATGTCGGATCGAGGTAGAGGGAGCTGATGACTCCGTCGGCTGCTCTCAGTGGCTCCCGGAGCCGCGAGTGGGTCCTGACGGCCTGGGTGCACAGCACTCAAAACCACTTTAAATGAGTTTGAACTCCAGGTCACAACGCTGCCATAAGAAGCAGGGCACTTGAGTGTGAATCCCTGTCCTGCGCCTTAGCTGCTGAGGGACCTCAGCACAAACTCCTCTCTCCATGCCTCGGCTTCCCCCAAAGAACACCCCCTCCCCCTCCCCCGCAGCCCCCCAGGGCTGCAGCAAAGCTCAGTCATTGGAAAACAAAGCAGGGAAGTGCTTTCTAACTGTGCAGCTCCTTAAATGGGGAGTGTGGTCCTTGCCCAGAGAGCCACACTGGGGGTGGGGGGTGGCCACTGCGGGGGTGGCTCTTCCGTGGCAGGAATGTCAGTGCTGCAGCAGAGTTCGGGCTCCAGGGCCACCTGCTAGCCTAGCAAGCCCACAGCAAGGGCCCTCAGCTCTCTCCTTCTCGGTTTCCTCATCGGCACAGGGACAATTCCGTGCGCCTCAGGGGCTTTGGTGAGAATTAAATGCAATCAAATCATGTAAGTAAAGCACACAGCACGCAGGCGAACGGATCATCAGCTTGCAGTAACTGTTAGTTATTACTGTTATTGATGATATTACCACCGGAACAATATTTAGCGCATTGTTTTGCTTTGTTTTCTGTTTGTGACTGGATCCAAGTCTGTGCTGAAATATCACAGCTTGTGTTCACACCCACCAGCTGTGCCAGGCAGCCCGTACCCCACCGTTAGCTGGGCTCCCCACTCTCACACCCCTCTCCCCTGGCTCTGAGGTCTGCAGCTGAGCTCCGAGCTGAGATGCAGGATGTTCGCAAGGCTCACGGAGGCACGTTTCCCGGGAAGCCCGATTCTGGGGTCCGTATCTGTCCACCCAGCCATTTCCTCCTCTCCGGCTCCCTCCACGCCCCTGGCAACCTTCAGAGAATGGGGCCAAAGCGGATCTCCTAAGAGGGGCCGTGCTGCTCTTTGCAATTGGAGTCAATTCAAGGTTGTTTTCATGGCAGTGGGACCCTGCTCTGTGGCCCCAAATGGCCGCAGAGAAGCTTGGCGACTCTGCACCGGGAGATCGAAGGGGCGGCGCTGGTACGGGTACCACAGGCCGGCTGACACTCACACCTCCGTTTCCTTCAGGGAACAAGGCGACTGAGGGGCTCTCACTGGGTTTGGCATTGTGGGTGCAGCTGAGGGACGCCTGGGGCCGGGAGGGTTTCAGGCATCCCCTCTGCTCCCAAGGACGAAGGGGATGGACTTGGGATGCTGGCGCTGGGCCTGTGATGGGGAAATTCCAAGTGGCTTGGGACGCTTGTCTCAGCTGCTGAGCTCACAGTCAAGCCTAGGAACAGAGTCTTTATGTGATGGCCGCAAGCCACCTGACGTTTGTGCTTTACCGAAGCTCTTACCATATGCTGGGAAGGCAGACAAGTAGCCGCTGCTCAGACAGCAGACCCAGAGGCCTCACCGCCAATCACCAAATCCTCAACATCACCCTTCAGCTTCATCTGTGGCCCAGAAAACCGAGGCCCAGAGACCTAGCATGGACCAAACTGTTGGCCAGGAAATCAGAGGAGCAGGGTTCAAATCCCTGCCCCACCTCTTCCTGGCTGGGTGACCTTGGTCAAGTCACTTCCCATCTCTGTGCTGCAGTTTCCCCACCTCTGCCGTGGGGATAGAAGAGGGCTTGCTGCACCAGGTTGTTAGCAGTGGCCTCGTGAGCCGGGCACACCCATACCGGAAGCTTTCAGTTCTCCACTCTTTCCTCCCAGCAGGGATGAGAACTTACCCAAGGTCACCCGGCCAGAGAACGGCAGCACCCTAGCTTAAAGCCAACTCAGTGCGGGCTGGTCCTGGTCTCAGAGTCCGTGTTTCACAGCCTCTCCGCCCCCCCCCCCCCCCCCCCCCCCCCGGCTCCCTGACACAGATCGCTACTGCAGGTCGGTCCACGCCGTCACCTTCCATCCGTGCAGGTTTTAGTCTAAGACACTTGCTGAGTGCCTGCTATGAGCTGGGCCGCGCGTGCACGGAGTTCCTGATCCCCAGGCATGCGGAATCCGGGGGAGACAGAACTAGTGTGCTTCTTTTAGCTCTGATGGACTCGCTCTTTCCTCCAAGGCGGGTCCTCCTGGGCCTCTGGATGCCCCTCTCAGCTCTACCCTGAGCTCCTGGGGAGGGGGGAGGGCGCTTCTCACCGCATCCCCGGGCTCTGGAATCAAGGGCTGCACCCAAGCGAGATGGTCCCCGCTTTCTCTCCCACAGAGGCGGCCTCTCTGCTGCTGCGGTTCTGAGGGATTGCCCCACTCCCCAGATGCTCTGCCAGCCAAGCCGGGCTGTGTGCCCCTGCCTGGGACTCCCTGGTTGTCCTCCGAGCCCTGGCCACCGAGCCAGCGCTTGGCTGGAGAGAGAGAGAGTGCTTTCTTTGTTTGCTGCTTGCCTGACCATTTATTTGAGACTCCAGAGAGGCTCAGCCATTTTGCCCTGGATGCTCTGGGGGAAAAGTCCCTCCCCCTCCTCCAAGGACTTGCACCTCTAAGGGCAGCGTCTCCTCTTCCTCCTCTGCCTGGGGGAGGGTCTGAGACTGCTAACCACGACCAGCGCAGAGGCTGGGTCAACCCTTCGCAGAGAGAGTGCTCCAGAGAGAGACACAGACAGACAGACAGAGGGTGCAAGCTGCCTGTAGTTCCCACTGACCTCCTTCCTTCTGGAATCTGGGAGTTGGGGCAGGCTTTTCAGACTCCCTTATGTACACATTTCCCCCAAAGTTCCCCAAGAGACAGAAAGATCTGAGCAATACCAGCCCCCAACACCCCCTCTCACCAACCACCTCCTCTCTCTGGCCCAAAACCCACTTTGTGTGTCACAGAAAAATGAAGGTCGACTCCGAAGTCCATTCACAGCTTCTGATTTTGGGGGCGGGGGGCGCCAAAGCTCAGGAGCCATTTTCTAGGGCTTCCCCCACCGCCCCAGTTCATGGGGAGGAGGCTGGGTTTCTGGAAGAGGGAGCGAGCGCTCCAGCCGCGGATCAGGAAGAAGCTCTGAGGAAGGGCTTTGTCATTTGGCTTTTTAAAATCCGATTTTCTCCTTGGGGTCCATGTCTATTTTGGAAAAAGAGCAGCTACGAGCCTGAGTAGTGAGCTGCCCGGTCGAAGTTCCTCATCTGAGGACCAAGCCAAGCTGGAACAGGGCATCCGGGGGCGCCATCCGTGGCGATGGGGGGCACAAAGGGGCCGGGCATGGAGACCCCCAGGTCATTGCCCTGGGGGTAACGGCGGCAGGCGGTGTCCCCTTCCCCTCCCCTGAGAATCAGTACGGGTTACGAGAAGGTGAAAACAGTTTCCGCGGCGACAAGGGGACACCGTCCTCCAGCCCTCTGGGGGACTCCCCTCACCCTACATTCCTCGGAGGAAAGGAGTGGAGAGCGCGGCGCGGGCTCCTGTGCGCTCTGCCCAGTACGCTTTTTAGCCAACATTTCTTGAGAGCCTGAGTTGCCCCAGGATGGGAAGGGGGGGTGCCCCAGGATGGGAAGGGGGCGCCCCAGCCCCAAGCCGCTCGCCCAGAGCCCCTGGAGAATAAATGAGGCGCACGGCTCTACCTCCGCGCAGCCGACCCCGCGACGGAAAAGTGGCGCACTGCCCCCCAAACGCTCTCCCGGGGGCCCCGCCAGCCCCTGGGGATGAACGCGGCGCTTCGACGGCCCCAACAGAGACCAGCGCCGGTGAGGGGATCCGAGGGGCCCCGCGTGCGGGAAGGGGCCCCGGGCTCCCGCGCCCGCGGCGCGAGTCCCCCCCGCCCCCGCGCGTCCCAGAGGCGCGGCCCCGGGCTCACGTCGGCGGTCGGAGCGGCGGCCCGGGCTCCTCCGCGCGGCCCCGGGGGGACGCGAGGCGCCGGGGCTGGAACCCGGGCGTCCGCCCCCACCCCGCCCCCGGCCCGACCCGCCCGGGGCCGTCCGGGGCTCCGAGCCCCGCGCCCCGACGCCGGCCGCGCGTTCCCTACCTGCGGCCCGGGCTGCGCTGCCCGCAGCGGGCGCCGCGCGGGCAGCTCGGCCGCTCGGCTGCGCTCCGGCCGCGGGGCCGCTCCGGGCTCGGGCCGCGCGGCGCTCCCGGCTCCTCCGCTCCTCGGCGCCTCCGCTCCGCGCCGCTCGCCCGCAACCTCGCCGCTCGCTCGGGCTTCCGAGGGCGGGCGGAGGGACGCGGGGAAGGGGCAGGGCGGGGGAGCGAGGCGGCGCGGGCAGGGGGGCGGGGCGCCGCTCCGGGAGCCCGCCCAGCCCGGGGAGGGGCGCCGCCCGCGCCCGCCCCCCGCCCGCGCCGCGCGCCCCCCGCCCCGCCCGCGGCCTCGGCCCCCGGCCGTCGCCGCCCTCTCTGCCCTCCCCTCCTCCGCCCCGTCCTCTCTCCATCCCGCCTGCCCGCGCTCGCCTCTCTTCGTCCCCAGTCTCCTTCCCTTCTCTCCGGCCCCCCCCACCTCCCCCTGCCGGCGCCCCCCGCCCCCCAGTCCTTCCCTCGTCTCCCTCGGTCTGTTGGCCCCTTCCCTGCCCTGGCCGGGGGTCCTCAGCGCACCTGTCTTGGTCTCTGTAGCCCAGTTCTTCTCCACACGTTTTTTCCCTCTTGGCTTTTCTCTTGCCAGCCTCGCAGTCCGCTTCTGTCGGTCTTTCTCGGGCGCCCTCTTCTCCCCGTAGGTCATCAGGCCCCTGGCTGGGGGTGGGGTGGGGTGGGCTCCTGCCCCTTCTCTGCCCTCCCCAGGGTGGCCTCCCGCGCTGACTGTTAGGACTGAGGAGGGAACGACTCCTGACCCAGAGCTCACTCACGCTGTGGGTGCCAGGCTGGGGGTGTGCGGGGGCAGGCAGGGAGGGACGGGTTGCCACCAGTTGGGCTTGGGGACACTAGTGGCCATGTGTGTGGAAGGACAGTTGGTAAACAGATGACTGAAAAGGGCAGCAGCCTGGAAAAACACCCAAGGGGTGGCGGCAGAATCCCCAAGAAGTCACCTACTTAACTTCCAGGTTGTTGTTGTTTTTTAACAGTTTATTGTCAAGTTGGTTTCCATATAACACCAGGTGCTCATCCCACATAACTTCCAGTTTTTGAGGTTTGAGAGACTGTCCCAGAGAAGGTTCTCTCCTAGCCAATCCCAACCCAGTGCCCGAGGACTCCCTCCCTCCCCCCCTCACTGTCACAAAGGCGCCTGGGTGTGGGGCCACAGCTGCCCTTCCCTCTGGGTCCCTCAAGGACTCATAGAAAGGATCCCATCTCTGCAGCCTGACCTGCTCTTCACCTTCCTCTCTCTTTCCCCAGGGCGGGCGTTTCCTGATTGGCTAGCCATCCTCTACCCCAACTGGCCGCGCACTCTGGCCATCCATCGTGGGGTCCCACAGCGCAGTGCTTCCCAAAGCCACTCTGACTTCTCCTGGCTCTTTCCCCACACTCACTCACAAGCAAGGAATCCTGATACTTTCCTCTGTATCTTCCTTGCTATCGTCCACCCGTCCCTCCCCCCTTTCACTGGTCACGAGCTCCCATAGGCTTTTAAACTCCAGTGGTACCTCAAATAAATATTTGTTGAGCTCTTTCTACTTGCCAGGGACTGTCCTAGGCTCTGGGGGCACAGTGGCAGACAAGACAAACCTCAAGATGGTCTTGGTCCGGCATCGGAGATGGGCTTCTGTCCGGCAGTCAGATAAACCCAGAGTGACAAGCTGTGCCAGGAGCGTAGGTTTCAGGCGACTCTCAGGCCAGCTCGGGATGGTTGGAGGCAGTTTCCTCAAGGAAGTGGCGTTTGAACTGAGGGTCAGGGGATGATTAGGCAGTGCCTGGATAGAGATGGGGGTGCACACCCTTGAGCAAGGATATGAACGTAGCAAAATATGGAAGCTATTTTTGCTTGCTTGACATTCATTTCCACTTCTTTAGGTGATAGCACCTCAGTTTTGGTTTGGGGACCTTCCGTTCCTCCACTCTCACTGCTGTGGCTGTGGGGGGCTCCTGCCTTCCAGAGGTGGATGTGTGGCCCGAGCACAGCCAGAGCACATCACCCCGACCTCAGTGGTGGGGCTGGGGGAGCACGCAACATAGGCTGGCTCAATGGGAACTCTCCCTGGGACTCTTGCTAAAACTATTGCCAGCAAGAAGCTTCATCTCCACCACAGTTCTTACGCCTGGAGATGCTAGCAGCCGTTTTCACCACACCATTTTTGTCAGACCCTACCTGAAAACGAAGCCAGCACAGAGCACGGCAGAGCCAGGAGACGAGAGTGGACCGAGTCCTGATGAATACTGTGTGCATCTCTGAATCTAGCTACGCCTGAAGGCTGTCAGAGTTATTTGAAATCCCGTTAAATTCCCTTTTTTTGTCAGTTACGAAAGTTTGAATTCAGCTTATGTTGCTTAAAGTCAAAACTGTCCTGATGAATCCGGGGCTGGATTGAGAAATAGGAAGTATTATCGTCACCATTTCCACCCCCCTCTCTTCCCTCATGTGTCCTGGATAGACTCGCTCGCAACCGGCTCCCTCTTTTCTATATTCGGGGTCAGAAGTTAGTTCTCCGCTCTTTCCATTGCTGCACACGTGCTTTGCCCATGTACCAAAGCAAAGCCTGGCTGTCAGGTCAGTTTCATAGGCTGCCATCTGATGCTTGACTTACCTTCACGACATTTCCTGCTCTCCCCTGCCCCCCGTGACTGTCTAGCGTCTGTCCGCACATCTCCAATGATGGCTCCTTATTCCACCAGGCAGATGGTTTCAACCAACAAACTCTTATCTCAGTGGAGCTCTGAGGACTGCCTCCTGTGCCATGAAGATGGGTAAGAGTCGCTACACCACAAGGCTGAGTTCGGTGTATATAGGACCTTTATATCCTTCCTACAATCCCCAGTGAGAGCCTTCCAGAGAACTCCCAGGGGTCTCTCAGGGGCTAGAGTGGTGGGTTCCATAAAGCAGTGTTCCCAAAGTGGGGACTGGCAACCACAGGTGGTAGCTAGGATAACTGTCATTGCAGTTGAGTAACTTGGAGGCCAAATGCTCTTCTATGTCCGCCTCCCTGTAACATTCTTGTGATTTCTGTCCATGGGTAAGTGTCAGGTCGCTGCTAATCTGTCTTTAACCCCTCTCCAAAGCACTGGCCAATCCCATTTTAACTAAGGGAGAGAGAGAAGCCCTCGATCTCCAGCCAACAGTATCTAGTTAGAACGGAATGCATTGCTCATTTGTCCTTGCATTTCCTTTAATGGAGACCTATTTCTGGCAAGCAATACTGGTCTTCTAGTTACAGCATGATGTACAGTTTCCTTTTGGGATACATTTATTTAATCTAAAAAAGAAAAATATTTAAGTAAATAAAAATAGACACGGTGCGCAGATTTCAGAAAACTCTTGTAAGTGGTTTGCAAATGACTAAAGTTTGAGTAGCCTAATTTAGAGAAACATTACACCCGCGTGTTCTTTCCCTTGAGGAATGTTTATTAAGCACCTCTAAGTACCAGGCACAGGAGAGGACCAGACAAAGAGACCATGAGATTGATAAGAAATTCCATTAGAGAGGGCATGACCTGGGCATGGAAGGCTTAACCGCCACATTAAAGAATTGGACTTGACCTTGGGGGGGCACTGAGGAGCCAGTGACTGTGCAGGAGCCAAAGAGGAAGGTAAGGTTCAAGAGAGCTGAGGCTGGCCAGATATGCCAGGTGGACGGAAGGGGAGAAGACTGAAAGCCCAGGAACCAACATGGAGCTGTTGCAGGATTGGAGGTGTGCCAGGAGCTAGGCGAGCGCCTAGCAGAAATCCCAGCCCACGGAAGACACCCAATAAATGGTTGAAACGAGTATTGTTGGGGCGCCTGTGGGGCTCAGTCGGTTAAGCATCCTACTTCGGCTCAGGTCATGATCTCATGGTTCGTGGGTTTGAGCCCCGCGTCAGGCTCTGTGCTGACAGCTCAGAGCCTGGAGCCTGCTTTGGATGCTGTGTCTCCCTCTCTCTCTGACCCTCCCCTGCTCACACCGTCTCTCTCTCTCAGAAATAAAAAATAAAACATTAAAAAAAAAAAAGAAATAAGTATTGTTAATATTACTGTTGTGGTCCTTGCCGTTCCTTGACTTGAAATAATTCATGAAGTCAGACTTCTGGGGCTTCAGACTGGAACCAGCCCTTGCTTTACCTAGTTTAATCCTTTTATTTTAGAAATGGGTAGATCAAGGCCCAGAGAGAGGCAGTGACTTGCCTGTGAGCACCTTGCTGTGTGACGGCAGAGGCAGCAAGACGACGGCTGTCTGGTACATTCTGGAGCGCTTTGCTGTATGCTAATTACTGACCTGTAGGCAAACAAGAGACCAGGAGAGTCGCTGGCCCAAAGTCACACAGCACGAGAGGAGCAGAGCTGGGACCCCAGCCTAAGCTGGCCACCGCAAAGCCAGCACTCTGGGCCATTAAGCTCATTAATCCTGCTGGGGGGTGGGGGACGGGGGGGGGTGTTTCTGCCATCCCAGGCAGCCTCCCATCTGGCCATAGGTGATGCTGTGGGAAGAGACCTGATCTGGGGGTCAGGATGCTGAGATCTGTCACCAACCCTCTGTGTCACCTTAGGCAAGTCCCTTTCCCTCTCTGAGCCCAATTTCCTCACCTGTGAATTAAAAAGATGGCACTTCCCTTCTGCCGTCCCCAGTCACCAGGCTGGGGGGGCGGGGCTTAGGGGGAAGGGGACTACAGTCTGCTCCCCACTGCCTCGCCCAGGCCTCCTACCCCGAACCCCTCCCTACCTGCTGCTTGTAGCAGACTGTCTCCACAGACGGCAGAATTCCCTCTTCCAGTTTCTCCAAAAGTATAGTAAAACTGAGACGTGTCCCTTCCACCTAGGAAAGTGTCCACCGCGGGGAAACAGCTTCGTGTGTTGTGTCCTGAAGGAATGCTGTTATCTTAAACACACCCCTCTCCGTGCCTGCAATTCCCCCATTAGTGAAAGAGCCGCAGCTGTAATGTGTGTAATCACTCGAAAAACCACAATAAACCTCCCAGGGGATAATAGAACATAAGATCATTTTGTTATCCTGCCCGTGAGTCACGCTGGGGCAGGTCCCTGGCAGCGGGCTC